AAACGTTGAGAGAGGACTAGAGGTCGATAATGGACCAATAATTATTGGCCGACAGGATGAATGGGCGGGATGATGAAGATTTCTGCTGACATTATAGGTAGGGGTGAGGTGGCAGGGGGTGGTGTGGATGATGGAGAGGGGGTGGGGGTGTCTTGATCAGCGAGTACTTGTTCGTGCAGAAACATCAATAAGATGGCTAGGTCGGCACGTTAATGGAATGGTTAGGGTTAAATGGGGATACGATTTGAATCTTCCCACACAAAACATCTCACCAATCTATTTACTCACACAAATAAAACCCAAACATATTTACGCACACAAATCACACAAATATATCACAAATCTGATTACCAACACATATATATTACACACTATCTAGACACACATCTACACCACTCATCGATCTAGCCACACAAATACATTACACACCTATCAACCCACACAAATCTCTTAAATCAAATCTCTAATGCTAATCATCTTGACCACACCAAGTGGTAATTAATTCTCCGGCTTGCCAGTCACGCATACATCTCAATGACCCGAGCTGTTTATTTATTCAACACATTGGAATTATCGAATTCTCTAGAAGAATTCTACACACAAACTGTTGACGTTTCAAAACACACCGCACCTTTATATGCACAGCATCGGGCGAGCTGTCATCATAATTTACATCTGTAAAACCCCAATACGCAGTTAGTTGAATAAAATACTTCTGTGTTAAATTGAATAAGGAATAAAACTATTTTTGAAATCCAGACATGTTTGTGTAAAATGACGTGTGAATTCCGAGATAGCTATCATGTGAAACATGATGCCCGTGGCACAAGACCGTGTTAAGTGAGAAGGAGCCCATGACCCAAGACCTCTAACGATTAGAATTATAGTATAAAAGCCCATGGCCTAAGACCGCTAAAGATTGGATCTCTAGCAATCCATGGCCCAAGACCTCTAACGATTAGAATTATAGTATAAAAGCCCATGGCCCAAGACCGCTAACGGTTAGAACTTTGGCAACCCATGGCCAAGATTGGATCTCTAGCTACCCATGTATCAAATCCGCTAACGATTTGAACTTCAGGAGCCCATGGCTCGAATCGAGTTAGCCTAAAGCCCGTGACCTAAAGTTCTAAACGAATGGAACTGGAGAAGCCCTCGGCCCGAGACCTCTAATGCGTGGAACTCGACAACCCCTATACCGCTAACGAGTAACGAGGGACTGACGGCCGAGCGTCCACCGATACCTCGGTCGTCTTGTGTCGTCCATCACTTGAAATTGAACTGGAACCGCCCTAGACCTAACGTGTCCCCGGGGATCAATGTGTATCTCGCTGCTGGGTGCGGCTGTGCTGGGGGGGGGGGGGGGTCTCACGACCCAGCCGCTCATTAACGGCGTGTGAAGCTGAAGGGGGGGGGGTGAGGCAACGTGAGGATCAGCCCTGGATTAACATCAACACGGACATGCAAAAGATCGTTTAATTTTACTGAGCTGGGATTAATTAAAGGCAGCTCGGGAGACGAAGATCAGACCGGCATTTATTGGCCATCAGAGGAAATGAACATGTTAGGGACGGGATGACGCGGCTATAGGCTATTCATGTCTGGCTAACAGAAAAAAAAAAACTTCACAAAAACTTGTTTAGATTTAACCGGGTTTTCCCTATCGCATGTGGCAGATAAGAATATATTTTTTCTCTCCTCCCATTCAAGAAATGCTTTCCTTCCTTTTTTTTTTACCTGTCTTTCTAGAAGTTACAAATGTCAGCATCACCTTGAAAACGGCAGCTAGGGAAATGTTGTTCAGGTAAGTGGTTAGTCCTAGTTAAACTCTTGTGGCTTAGGCAAGAACCTAAGACAACTCATAAAATATGTTGCCTTATAACAAAGACGGTGTTGTATGTTTCACGAAAAGAAAAAAACACATTAAGTCGCCGTCTATCCTCATTAGATGCATACATGAAACAACCATCGAACCCAATCTAATCCATACATGCAACATCCACCATATCTTATCCAACCCATACATACAATATCAACCCAACCCTATCCAACCCATAAACGCAACAAACACCCAACCCTGTACAACACACGTCTAAAACAACCTCCCAACCCCCCGACATGAACCACCTATTTAATCATATCCAGTCCATACTTGCAACCACAACCCAACCCTATCCAACCCATGCCTCGAGAAACCATCTAACGCTCCTCCATAAACCAACAACCCAATCCTTTTCAACCCTTTCCAACCCATCGACCTCACACACTGGCCTAATCCAGCCAGCACATCAGCCAATGACACAACCAATTTATTTTGCTACTGTAATCAATAAGAACACGTCGGAAAATGCTTTGAAGTAAAATTAAAAAAAAAATACATGGCCAGTGTAAGTATCAAACAAAACTTTCATAGAACATAATATAAGAAGGTTCGGCTTTTTATGTTTATTGCCATCGAAACTCATTTGATGTTGGTTTTTTTGTTTTGTGATGTTTGTTTGTTTTTAATTGTTCATACGCACGAAAATTATTTCTTTTAGGAAACCTCTTTTGATCTCGCACACTTACTAGAAAAAGATTTTTTAAATATATATTAGACAACACTTTATTTTCGTTTAACAACAATTTAAAAAAAAAAAACTACCGAAACAATCAATGCTCAATCATCACGTACAAGAAAAACAAACAAATAAAACAGTTTAAAAACAATCTAATTTCAAAGTTGTTTTTTTACAACAGCTACCAAGACATCTCCACATTAAACTTCTCGAAATCACCCGAAAACAGCGGACTAAAAATAAATGTAAATCCCCATTTCCACTTAAATGACATCTTCTTGAGGCCCGACTCTTGAGGAATGTCTTTTCTTCATTAGACCAGAATTAAAGACGGCACGTGAGACCGGTCTCAAGTAGTTCTTTCATGTAAACAAACCTTGCCCAGCAGCGAGGGGAAAAAATAACTTTAGGGGAGGGGAGGGGGGGAGTACAAACAAGCTAGCGGCCTTTTGGAGATGGAGAAATTGGAGTGGTACCAAACTAATCAAACTTATCTTTTCAGACGGACGACGGAGGGCGGGGAGTGAGGAGGGAGGCAGTAGAGGAGGGAAGGAGAGAGGAATCAGGATGAGAGGAAGACGCCCGGAGAAAGGAGGGAGGAGTAAAGGTGGTAAGGAGAAACGAATAAGAGGATGAGACGGCATGAATAAAGTAGGAAGATGACTGAGATAACCAGGGGAGGGAAGGTGGTAAGAGGAATGAAAGGATGAGACGCCCGGGAGAAAGGAGGGAGGGGTTAGTAGGAGGGAGACATCCTGGGAGAGGAGGAGAGATGTAAGGATGAGTCGGTCGGGAAAAAGAAAAGAGAGGCGAGGAGGGAGGTATCCTGGGGAAGGGAGGAGATGTGAGGAAGAGAAGGCCCCGGAGAAGAGGGAGGATGAGGCATCAAAAGGGGGGAAGGAGAAACTTGAAGAGAAGGCAGAAGAAATAAGAGATGTAAGCTTTAGACGGTTAAAACAAAGAGGAAGATGAGAATAGAGATAATCAGGAATAGACGACCAGAGGCTGCATGTAAGAGAAAAAAATGCCAGAGGAGGAAAGGAAAAAAAAAAAATGAAGACGAGACGGCAGGATGAAAGTATGTAAAGATGAGGGTTTTTTCTCTTGTCTGAAGACGACTTAAGATTGTTGACATCGATCTCTCCAAGGGTTAACTCCACCGGCCATTCAAACAGAGAAAAACTTGGCTGTTTTTAATGGAATACAAGCTGCGAGGTATAGGACTTTTTGTTATTTAACAAAACGATATTCGAATAATCGTTACAGAACCAATCTCTACAATCCTTGTAAGGCGCCAATAATCGAATATTTTGTGTTGCTTTTAACTTGACAGTGGTTTAACCCTGAGACAGGAAGGGTAAATGAAAAAATAACAAGAGATATTTTCTTTTCAAGCAAATATGAGTATTCTGAATCTTACAAGTAGCCGGAAATAGAGCTTTTTATTTCAGTAATAATTTTGAGCAGCATTTGAGCTAATTAAAGGATTTTATTTCTTGTTATGTTTACCAGACATTGGTTGATGGATTCTAGACATGGGGAGTTTTGATGTAAACCACTGGTTTAATACGGAATAAGGGTCCAAACCACTGGTTAAAAAATAAGGTTATTTACTGTACAAAGGGTGATAACCGTTGGTAGAAGCAATATAGGGTGTCCTCTTTCTGTTATTTATGAACCACCCGAAAACACAAAGAATGAGGTTCTGTGCTGTACAAAGTGTGGGAACCTCTGATTGTTGCAATACACTGAGTGTGATCCTCATTAGTTCATGTATGTAATACACTTAACACAAGGTATGAGGTCCTGTGCTGTACAAAGTTTGAGAACCACTGTTGTTGCAATACAATGAGAGCAAAACTCTTTCTTTTATGTGTGTAATACAGTAAACACAAGGTAAGAGGTCCTGTGCTGTAAAACGTGTGAGAACCACAGATTATTGCAATACACGAGTGTGATCCTCTTTCTTGTATGTGTGTAACACAGTAAACACAAGGTGTGGGGTCCTGTGCTGTACAGAGATTACAAGCTACTGCTATATGTGATGTAGGAATAAAAGTCTCTGAGTCCATCCAGCCCTCACGGGTACCTGACTCTCGTTAGGAAATTAAAGGCAGCTTGGCACATGACAAGGTGACAGAACCAGGTGAACACTACTTCACCATGTGAAGCCAGGTCCAAAAAGGGAAACTCGTCAAATAAAACGGGAATCAAGAAAGGTTAGGGCAACTACCTTTGAACCATGTAAAGCCAGGTCCGAATAGGGAAACTCGTCAAATAAAAAAGGAATCAAGAAAGGTTAGGGCTACTACCTTTGAACGATGTAAAGCCAGGTCCAAATAGGGAAACTCGTCAAAAAAAAGGATAGGGCAACTACCTTTGAACCATGTAAAGCCAGGTCCGAATAGGGAAACTCTCAAATAAAAAGGATAGGGCTACTACCTTTGATAGAGCGGCCGTACTGGCTAGCTTTGATATCGTCATCATCCGCCTTCTGTAACAGCGCCTCTTTGGTCTTCGTCTCCAGAACCTTCCTCCTCTCCCTGACCAGGACCCGGGGGTAGGCCAGGAAGGGCAGGGACAGCAGGAGCAGCAGGACGCCGCAAATGATGAAGCCGCCCCACCACGCCCCTATCCACCGCGGGCTGGAGGTGGTGATGAGCACGTCGTGGGAGAACGTGTCCACGTAGTACTGCAGGAGCAGGGCGCCCAGGGCGTAGCCCAGGACGGGACCCAGGGCTCCAGAGGCGTGGATACATGCTGAAATAGAGATAAATTAAATGGTGTAAACAGGGGCGTGAATACAAGCTGAAGTAGAGATAAATACACGGCGTAAACAGAGTCGTGGATACATGCTGAAAGAGAGATAAATTAGAGTAAACAGGGGCGTGGATACTAGCTGAAATAGAGATAAATTAAATGGTGTAAACAGGGGCGTAGATACATGCTGAAATAGAGATAAATTAAACAGCGTTAAACAGCGTAAACAGGGGCGTGATTACAAGCTGAAATAGTCAGGGACAAATTAAATGATGTAATTAGAGGAATGGATGCAAGTTGAAATAGCAAGGGACAAATAAATTAAATGGTGTAAAATGGTTTGTGGGTGGCAAATTCTGAACTTCTAATTAATTTCCATTATAAACAAAAACAAACCCTTAAAATAACAATAGAATGTAAATGTACTAAAAACAGATGTTTAAACTTAATAGCTCGAACACGTTATGTTCTTCCAATATTCTACACACAGCAACACTCAAACGTTAAAACATGTTCAGGTAGCATTACTATACATTTTCCTCTGCCGAGTTAAAAATGTTTCTGTTTTATTTACATTAGTAAGCTAAAACCAGCGTGTATTGTTTCCTTATTTTCAACGTATTTCATCACGTGATCTTTACGTCAGCTGTTCTAGAAAGAAACACCCGCTGGCAGAAAACTAGCACATGTGTAGCAATGTGTAACACATACAGACTAGTGGGGGAAAGTTGTGGGGGAAATGTGTGATACAATGTAGTTAAGTTTTGGTGTATTATACGCTGGGGTTTCATGGTGTGATGGTGCATTATGGTAAGATGGTGTATTAGGGTGTGATGGTGTATCTTGGTGTGATGGTGTATCGTGGTGTGATGGTGTATTAGGGTGTGATGGTGTATCTTGGTGTGATGGTGTATTATCGTGTGATGGTGTATTGTGAAGTGGTCTTTCAAGGTGTGATGGTGTTTCATGGTGTGATGGTGTATTGTGGTGTGATGGTGTATCGTGGTGTAATGGTGTATCATGGTGTGATGGTGTATCATGGTGTGATTGTGTATCATGGTGTGATGGTGTATCATGGTGTGATGGTGTATTGTGAAGTGGTGTTTCATGGTGTAATGGTGTATCATGGTGTGATGGTGTATCATGGTGTGATGGTGTATCATGGTGTATCGTGGTGTGATGGTGTATCATGGCGTATCATGGTGTGATAGTGTATCGTGGTTTGGTGATGTGTCGTGGTTTGGTGATGTGTCGTGGTTTGGTGATGTGTCGTGGTTTGGTGATGTGTCGTCGTTTGGTGCGGTGTCGTGGTTTGGTGCGGTGTCGCGGTTTCGTGCTGTATTGCACCAGCTTGTTTACCGACATCGACAAAACTGAATGAAATTAAAACTAGTTTGTAATTGGAGGTTCCGTAAAACATCTTTGCTCGTACTGTGAACTAATGTGTTTGCTAAAATTTATTACCTTAACTATCGTGTTGCTACGCATTTTCGCTCTTGTTTTTTTTTCTTTTTTTACGAAATTTAACAGTAATTGCACAGGGCAAGTAAAATTTTTAAAAGGGTTTTGAAACAAAACAAAGCTACCAATAACATCTTTAGCTAAATAGTTTAAGGGTTATAAGCCTGTGCTCACACAAAATAATCGATAGGCGATGAATTAAAAGGAAATAATAAGTTAGTTTATTACAAGCAATAAAATTCAGCAAATCGATAGTGAAAGAAACTATTAAAAATAACTATTGAAAGAATGCGGGGGAGTGGGGGGGGGGGGGGGGGGGAATTATAATATTTAAAAATTTCTTCAAAACAATCAACCATTACGGGAACATAATTATTTTTAATATAACTCCAACCGAAACATTTTACGATTAACAAAAAGGTTATTTTAAAAGCAGTATAAGACATCCGATAAAGACAAAGTAATACAAAGTTATTTTTAACAATGACGACATAAAACGTAAAAATAAAATTACATGTAAATGAAGAATTAATCAGCCCCTACCTAAATACGCCGGAGACTTTTCTTTCGCCACATGGTTGTCCACGTAGGTGACCCCCAGCGTCATGATGGGCGTCCCCCCGGTGCCGATCATGATCTGTGCGGCCACCAGCACCAGGACGTACCCCCAGTTCCCAGAGTTCTCCCGTATACACAGCCCAGAGTCGTACGCCTGCACGCCGGGCGCGCGGCAAATATTGGCGTCCTCTGTTTGGTTTTCGGACATTCCCGAATTCACGGTGTACTTTGGTGCGAGGATGTGCGGCAGGGAGAACAGAAGGGAGCCGGTGCCCATGATGAGCACCCCGAACCCGATCCACTTTGGAATGTGCCGGGACGCCCCTAGGTACGACACAAATATCACCGCGACCAAGTTGCCGAACTCGTACGCTGCGGCGATCAGTCCGGATATAGAGCTGCCGATTTCAAACCTGAAAAGAGAGTTCAGAAACATTGCTTTAAATAAAAGTTTAAATACATGTAGACTATATTTAACACAATTTTTACATCAAAGCTTTTTATATAAACTAATCATGAATATGAACATACAAGCTATACTCATTCAACTTGGCAATGTACTATGAGGCCAACCTAACATTGGTCAAACACCTGGCAATTTTTAATATAATTATTGAAATATTTAAGCGGTATGCAACAGTCTGTGAGACAAAGTGGTCGAATGATAAAGTTCACGACTGATATACTGAAAGTCTCGAGTTCGGATCTCGGACTCGAGTATATAGGACTTAAGCTCTGATGGGTACCTGACTCGAGTTAGGGAAATAAATGCGGCTGGGCATAGTGCTGACTACACTATCCCCTTACGTGCCGAGGTCGCAGAAACAAGAGAACTCTACTTCATCTTCCCCATGTGTCTTGAGCGCCAAACGGGAAAGATGTTGATAATGATGCCGACAGCCTAATATTTAAATAGGAACACTAACTCTTAAATAACATCGGTAATCAGACAGAGTAAAATCTCAATATCAACATAAAGATAACAAACCTTACTAAATTTGATAATGTATTTTAACCATTTTAATCTAATTCATTCAAAGATATATGGGGCTTTAACCAAAATACTATCATAGTGGAACCACTTTGTGTAGTTACGTGACCACAAAATACTGAACTGCCTGTATTAAATTAACTGATTCAAACACCGTGTTAGTTTACTAACAAGTAAAATGACTTTCTTAGCAAACCATGGTCAAGGTTTCTGTGATGACGCAAGATTACGTCAGACATGTTTAGCAGATATAGGTTAGCAGAAACAGACTATAGGCCTAGTTGGTTGGTTAGAGAGGCCAATGGGCGCACAGGACTGACCGGTCACGTGGGACGGTCAGCTGACCACTGAGGCGTGGGTCAGTAGTAGAGAGATAGGAGGGCAGTTGATAGGTAGCTAGCGAAGAGGACAGAAGGTGTTAGGTTGTAGAATGGAGCTGACGTAGAATGTAGAGAACAGTTAGTGTTAGGATTGGTCATGGGAGTGCGTAGTAGTAGGTAGCATGTGGTATGGACAGTCAGATAGAAGTAGTACAGTGTAGATTAGTTAGGTAGAAAATTGATTATATACATTTGAATAAAGAACATTTTGATTTTCAACTTGGAACCTGTGTTGGATATTTCTGTCATCATCATTCATTCATCGTAAAACATTCGTACCATCACAACTGATGGGTGATTCCATCATCAAAACACCCCCACCCTCACAGTTTCCATTTCTTGTTTTATGAGTATTAAGCATTAAAAAGAAGCCTGATTTTTTTATACTATTCCAATTAATTCTTAAGTTTCTAGAAATTGCTCGGTAATGAAAATACTTTTGAACCATATTTTCAAGATAAAACAAAAAGACGAAGATGTTAAACTTGTCTCCATTTTTGTTGAGAATAAAATTAGAGAATAAAACTAAAAGACAAAAAATGATAACTTTTTCTTTATGGTTTTTATGAAATGAATAATATTATTATTGGAATAAAAAAAAATGCTTACCTTTTTTTCTATGCTTGTTATGAAAGCCTACTTAACTAGATTTTTGTGAGAATTAAACTAAATGACAAAAGACTTGTACCTTTTCACTATGACTGTCAGGTACTTAAATAGATTTTTATGAGAAAAAAAACTGTTTACCTTTTCTCTATAGTCGTTATAACACTGTTCAAATAGCCAGTGGTCAGGGCGGAGGCGACAATGAGCAGCACGCACATGAAGAAGACGAACATCTTGACGTTGGCGCAGGCCTGAAAGCACTGCGGACTGAAGCTGCCCAACCGGCACTGGTTCGCCTCCTCATCGTCCTCGAACATGCCCATCCGCTGCTCCACCACCACCTCCTTCTGATCCTTCTTCAGCAGCGCGGTCCGGCTGTGGTCGGACTGACCGCTGATGGTGCTGACCACGCCTAAAGAGACTTGACCCTGGCTGATGTTCCCCGGAGATTCAAGGTCGGACGGACTCTCGAAGTATTCCGCGTCGTCTCGGGAATCCCCGGAGCTGTTCGGGATAACCCGGTTTCGTGTATCCTTGGATGAGGCGTATCTTTCGGGTGTGTCGCTATAAGCAGGCGAGGGCAACATGGAGACGAACTCCGTGTTATTTTGATGCTCCATCTTGATTTGATGACGTAAACTGAATCGTCCAGCAATGCTGCTAGTAATCAATTGACCTTAAGGTTTACAATCACAGAAATCCACATGACTAGAGAGAAAATGCTAGCTGTAATACACACGTTCTTCTGACAAACATCTTCCTTGGTATCAACATGTCAGCTACCATCTTCTTTTTGGGGAAACTAGAAAAATGGTTATCTGTCAGATTCAAAGAATTGTTTGAGTAGAATACTGACTTTTAAGAGACCATTTTTGCGAACCTGAAATATAGAAAACAGTAAAATAGAATTTCAATTCTTTCTATAAACCCATTGAGTATTTTGACAATCAATATTCATTTTAGTAAATAAAAAATCGCCGGCATAGCATGAAATATGCCAGAAAAAAATAAATCTATACAAATATTATGCCTTCATTAGCACAAGAAAGCTGTCACAACAAACAGACAATAAAGGTCAAGAGGTGTTTGACCAGGCTGTAAGGAGTGGTACCCCCCCCCTGCCCTCTCACACTACACACACCCCACACTTTGGAGTCGCGCGGTCCCCTAATGAAGGTTGTAATCGTGTGATAGCGCTTTAGTTTCCAGCCGATACAAAAGCCAATAATGAAACAATTAATTAACCTAACCAACGTTAAATTAAGTTAGACAAATCACAAGACCACAACCTTGTTTTATAAAAAGTTTGCTATTTACACAGTGAGTATGTGACACAATGGTATTTATGGTATTTTAAAATCAAAATTAGAAATTTGCAAACCTTATTATGTTTATTCTATTCAAACATCGTTTACATTGCTACTGAGTTTATTACAAATGGTAATAAATTACTAATTATATAAGCCTGGGGGTCGAAATTCAGCTTAAGTTCACTGCATAATCTTTAGCCGAATAAAAAAAAAATATTCTTAGCCGGCAAGTCAAGACTGACAAAATAATTTCCCGAGCTAGTCTTCCTCGCATTTATCTGGCAGCCGCGGAAATCAGCAAGTCCCACTAAGTGCGCCCTTAGACTCGTCGTGCCAGCTGATTATCTTCCGCACGGCCAGCGCTCCGGCATCGATTGCTCATCTGCCTCGGCCATGCTAAATATACTGATGACGTGAGGGGGAGGGGGGACGAGTGCTTACTTATTCAGTCCGTGTTCACTTGTAAGCTCGGGGTAATGGGCGTGATGGTGATGTCCGATGGAAGCGTGTCTGCGAGGAATCTGACAAAAGGACTCTTCAGATACGCAAGGATTGCTAATATACAGATAATGTCCTACCCAAGATTTGGGGGCGTTGTACGAGAGAATCGGAGCTGATGACTACATGAGGCGTTCTTTTGTTAGATAGTACATGATTATACGGGCATTTTGGGCACAATAGCAATATTGGTGGGCTCTTAGCAATCCGTCTTATAAAGCTAGTAAGCAGCCCTTGTTGCAGCCTTTTGTTGTAATGCATATTTAACAACCCTTGTGCTATTGGATACTTAGCAGCCATTGAGCGATAGGTCACTTAGCAATGGCTACTCAGCAACCCTTGGTATAATGGCTACTTAGCAACCGCTCTTATGACGGCTACTTAGCAGCCTTTGTGCAATCGGCTACTTAGCAACCCTTCTTATAATGGCTACTTAGCAACCCTTGTGCAACCTGCTACTTAGCAACCATTGGCAATAGGCTACTTAGCAACCCTTTTGATAATGGCTTTTTAGCAACTCTTGTGCGAGCTGGCTACTTAGCTCTTTACTATTACCACACGCATCAATAGCCTGTTAAAATTCATAATAAAACAGTCTCAACCAACATCCCACCAGCCGCCCCCACTCCCTTCATACCCGCCATCACACAATACACCATCTTCTGTGCTAAACGACCCCGTCACGAAAGAACTTCCGGTGAAAGTACCATCCGACCGGCACATAAAGGGAGATGACTCACCTAACACACGACTTTTTGCATGACTGGATTTCACAAGTGTCGTGACTGAAGATCTCGATTTCAAAGCTCAACACACACACACAAAAACACCACATCATCTCTTTTCTTCCAGACGTATCATTTCAAACAAACCAGACAAATCAAATATAAAATACGGGTTATTTATTTATTTTTTGAACAAGGAGATGACAGCAGTGGCGTAGCCAGGATCGTCTCAAGAGGGGGGGGGGGGGGTTTCCAATTTTTACCCGGGGACAAACTTTCGATTTGCACCCCCCCCCTCAAACTTTCGATTTGCACACCCCCTCATACTTTATATATATATATACCGAGGGGTCTATGGGGGGTTATGACCCCCCCTAACACCCCCCCCCCTGCCTACGCCATTGGATGACAGTAATTGTGCTGAACATATGGCAGAACTGGAATATCTAACCAGTTAAAGTTATTGATTTTTCTTTTTAACTGTTACAAGAAAGGAGCCTACAGATGATAGTTTGAAGATGAGTATCCGTGGAGATATTTTATAATACAATCCTCTTATGATAATGTTCAAAGAATCTGAAGGGATACCTTAAAGTGTCAAGAAAGGGATTAAGCTTTGTATTGCGAAGGAAGACCTTCAATAAAATCCCATTATGGGTATGGGGAGTTTTTTTTTAAATATCATATCAAAGGAAGAAAATATACGATATTTGTTACGTGATTGGATGCGGGAAGATAACTCGACTATCGTATAAATAAATGTACCCATACCCAGTACAGAGAACCAAGGCTGGAATAAACGGGAGATTACTAGACTAGTATAAGTATACGTGTACCCAGTCTAGTAAAACAAGGCTGAAATAAACGGAAGATTGCTTGAATGTAGTATTAGTGTACGAAGAGGCGTAGCGACCCTACCTGGCCCCGGGGACAAACTTTCGATTTGCACCCCCCTTAAAACTTTCGATTTGTACCCACACCCCACCCCCCCCCCCCTCATATTTTCGATTTGCACCCCCCTTAAACTTTCAATTTTTTTTCCAACCCATTTTGGCGCCCCATAAGGTCGGCGCCCGGGGACATATGTCGTCGCCCCCCCCCCCCCAGTCCCCCCTCGCTACTCCTCTGAGTGTATGTGTACCCAACTAGGATACCAAGACTTGAATAAACGGGAGATTGCTTGACTGTAGTATATAATTAGTGTACGTGTTCTAAGTCTAGTGAACTAGGAAAGAAATAAACGTGAGAAAGGATTGTATTGTTCTTATACGCGACATAGCCGCGAACAATATTTTCCACACAACTTTTAAGAGATCCCCAGACCACTAGACCATCGGCTTGTTTTCCAAACTACCCCCAGTTGTAACCAATCTTTCTTGTGTTATCAAGACACATTTTTCATGATCTGTACTGGAGATCCAGGCTGTGGGCTCGTCTCGATATGCTCGTCTCCTGCTTCCGTAATGTGTAGCCAATCAGTCACCGTTCTTTTTAGAAGCTATTGTCTTCTGCAGGATCGAATATATTCGCTGCAATACTTCTTCGTTGGTAATGGCGTTGAGGAAATGAGATGCGAGGCAAACTGCTAATGCATGTGTTAAAAGTCCCCGTATGTGTACTTGATTTGCTAAAAAAAAAGTTTCTCGATGTCTCTGTTCTATACAGAAGAACTGTTTTACTCTATATGTAAATAAATGTTGTTTTAAGTCCCATAATGTGTATTCAATGGTACTGGATCCAGACATCTTGTTAGTAATTGACCGCAAGAAAGCATGAGCATTTCTAGCAGTGTGAAAAGTTTCATGCATTACATAGAGTGGAAAAATATATAACTTTTATAGAAAATGTATACATAAACCAGCCGGTCTAATATGCTTACAGGTATTCCGTATGGATAAATTACAAGTGTCAATAGATTTATTGTGATAATAATCCACAGATATTACAACGAGATTTGGTAGAGTTTATTCCATCGAAATTAGAGAAAAAAAAATTTCAGTCAGCCTATCATGTAACCGATGTCAGACATGTGGACTGACAAATAAGTCAAGAATCATGTAACAGATACCAGTCATGAAGGCCGACACAAAAGTCAGGAATCATGTAACAGATACAGACATGAAGGCTGACACAAAAGTCAGGAATCATGTAACAGATACCAGACATTTTGACTGACACAAAAGTCAAGAATCATGTAACAGATACCAGACATTTTGACTGACACAAAAGTCAAGAATCATGTAACAGATACCAGACATTTTGACTGACACAAAAGTCAAGAATCATGTAACAGATACCAGATATGGCTGACACAAAAGTCAAGAATCATGTAACAGATACCAGATATGGCTGACACAAAAGTCAAGAATCATGTAACAGATACCAGATATGGCTGACACAAAAGTCAAGAATCATGTAACAGATACCAGATATGGCTGACACAAAAGTCAAGAATCATGTAACAGATACCAGACATTTTGACTGACACAAAAGTCAAGAATCATGTAACAGATACCAGATATGGCTGACACAAAAGTCAAGAATCATGTAACAGATACCACAGACAAAAATGCATGAGCGCTATGTTACTCCCGGAAATCGCATCAACGTGTCTAATTTGTTTACTCATTGTGTTGCCATGATCGTGCATGGAACTGCGCATGTGCCGGACAAACGTCCGTGGTTTAATCGGATGTTCCCGTAATTAGAACATCGTCCAAACATCGCTAGCCCGTGGGGCCTTTAAATGGGTTAAATGGCACGTCATTCAGTGTATCCTTCGTGAAAAAGAACAAACATAAATTCTACCATACAAAGTAGTTTGAACACTGGTCATTCTTTAGTGAGTTGTATGTTGGTATCAACACTAGTATTGCTATGATGAGTTACATTATATTTAACTGTTTCTTTTTATAAAGTCTGGAATGTTAAGAGAGCAAATAAGTACAACAAGGGAATTCGTGACAGTGTATTCTACTCGTCCACTTAAGGTGGTTAGTTCTAGGCGAGTTTACTGACCGCAGCCAGCAAATCGTGAGCGAGTAAAAGCACGCTCTACCACTAGATCCATCTGTCCTGTTTTTGGTGCTTTTGGTTCTTAATTTTAGTGTTGGAAGAGATTCCCTCCAACACAATTAAGTATTACGTGTCAACTTGTTATGCGCCATATAGGCCATTGACTCCGATTTCAGCCTGCTTTTCTTTTTGTATTTGCTTCCATAGCCTTTGGCCAACAAAGAACAAACTACAAGCCAGCAGTTGTTTGATTTTGGAGTTGTCTCTCCTAGAAGAGTTGTCTCCCCAGCTTTCGAGCCTCATCTGCCCGAGGGTTCGAACTCGAGACTTTT